TTTATGGAAAAAACAAATATATTCGGCTAAAATAATTCAGCACGCAATAATTAAATGGCTCTATCGACCAGGTGGATCATTTATGAAACAAGCCAAAGATCGATATTATTGCATTGCAGGCCGAAGAGCGACTCTCTGAGTCATGGGACTTATTTCAGGAAAAATGGCACTTCATGCCTGTCCCTATCAAAATGCGAAATAAGCTTCATCATCAGATAGAGCAGATCTTATTTCTGCAATCAGGCTCTTTAGGGGGCGACCCTTTGGGTTATAATTATATCAGCTTCGGTTAAATTATTTATTAATACGTATTAAAAATGCAGAATTAAACATATTGTTATAATAAACATCACAATGATAACTTTATCCTGCGAAATTAACAAAGTACAAGTAACAGTTATACTAGATTCCGGTGCTAATTGTAATATTATAGGTGAGAGTATAGCAAAAATAGTAGGCTTGAAAATCGATAATACCTCCAATACAGAAATATACACTATTAGCAAATTCAATATATTGGGAATAATTTGTGCAATAGAGATTTCAATCCTGTCTCAAGATGGTAAACAAGAGCAAGTGGAAGTTACTGATATTTTTGTAACCAATAAGCCTGAGCTTGAATCTGTACTGGTATTGGGTCAGCCATGGTTCCAGGAAAATGTAATGAAAGTGGACTTCCCAAATAAAACTCTTACATTACTTGACGGAACTGATATACTATTTGTCATTGGAACAGAAATCCCAGCACCGATGCAAGGTGATCAATCCGTGGATGATTATTTCAAAATGATAAAGATATATGCTATAGCATTGAGTATCGATTTAGATAATCAAGACCTTAAGGGAACTTTCTTTAATGGCCTATCACGAGATAATAAAAAAGAAGTAATTCGATTCGGCTTTAAAAAGCATCTGAATGAGATAGTCAATCACTTGAATAGAATCTCAACCGGGCCTACCGATATTCAAAAATTCCGATTTGGGGAATTGGAGCAAGGAAACGAATCAGTAATGGAGTATTTTGCAAAAGTAGAAAAATGTGGTAAATTAGCTGGATACAATGAAGAACGGCTTAGATATTTCTTTCTTCGTGGATTATCACCTGATAACCAGATGGAAGCCAGAAGATGCAGAACAGACCTATCATTAGATGAGCTGGTTGCAAAGTTAAGCGTGGTTGAGAATATCCAGAAAATAAATAATATATATGCCTAAATTAATTATCCGAACATTAGCTGTCTTTTTCCGATTAAAGATATATAATATACGATTTAAGAATGGTACAACTAAATATTTTTGATTTGCCGGAATTACTAGAACAGATCTTATATTTTTTAGAAATCGATCGATCCCTCTATTCCGCTTTATTTGTCAACCGCCTTTGGTATCACTGCAGTGCTCCTATTCTATGGCGTCGCGTTGAGTTTTTCAACGAAGATTATCAGCAGGATCAGTGTGAAAAAAATATATCTGGACCTCTTTATTGGTGATTGATGAAGTTTAAAAGAGTTATGTGTGGAAAGACAAAACCTCTTTATTGTTCAAAAATGGTATGTCTCAGATTGGAAGGTTTAAAAATCTCAGATGCGTTAATTAGTGCGATTCTACGCTCATATCCAGATATACGCACCCTTATTCTTGACCGAAGTAATGGTTTCACTAACATACCAATTATAGAAATTGCAAGATATTGTCCAAAACTACAGCATCTGAGTCTTAATTCATGTATATGTCTCACTAATCGTTGTATCACTGAAATAACGCGTTCATGCCAGAAACTTGGACATCTTGAGCTTGGTGATTGTTCGATTAGTAATAAAGCTGTCGAGGAAATAGCCCGCAACTGTACTAATTTGAAATATCTTAGTTTGGAGGGATGTAAAGGGGTTGGCGAAGAAGTGATGAAAAAACTTAATTCAAAAATTAAAATCGAACATCCTGATTATTCCGATGATGAATTCTCGGTTTCTGATCTACCTCCACTTATTCCAGATTATTCTGATGATGAATTCTCGGATTCTGATCTACCTCCACTTATTCCAGATCCATTAAGGGTATCTCGAAGCGTTATTTTTACCGGTAGACCTAATAGAATAGTTTTCCCCAATACATTAACTACAGATCTTATTTCTGCAATTAGAGTATCATCAGAATTGACTGATTCAGAACGAATTAATTTATTAAATAGACTTGCTCGAGCCATTAATCAATGATTACATCGATCGTGACAAGGACTTTAGGCAGATAATTAATTATTAGCTATTTTTTTTTTTGCTATAGTATATAATATATTTATTTTACTAATGCGCATAGAAACTCTTGTAGAAGGAAAAATTCCAGTCAAAGCATTAATAGATACATCCTCAAAGTTCAATACCATTAGCAAGAGCTTGTTCGATAGGCTTGGAACGGATCATGGAATAAGACCAACTTGTGATCCGGTTAAAAACCTCTATAAAGATGCAATAGGTGAAATAAATTGCTTAGATTTACAATTCCAATATAAAGGAACATACTATAGCTTGGATAACACTGATGTAATAAACTTTGAGATTCGCAAAAATCCAACATTCGATCTGGTATTGGGTCAGGGTTGGTTATGGGCGCACGAAGTAAAGATGCGTTTTAATCCGAATGCTAAAATTGTAATAGATGGTATGAGCATCCCGTTAACCGATGAAGATTTTAACAAAGCCAGCTCTAGTAAAAATAGCTCACTTAAGTCCGATTTATCAATAGAGGAGATCACGAATATGATTAAGATTTTATCTCTCAGAAGCAAAGATAATAAGCAACGAAAGAGGCATTATGACAACATACCTCCTATATCCCCAGCACATAGAAGAGTTAGCAAGATTAAGAAATATCCCAAGATAGATTTAGACGATGGATGTGGAAAACTTTCAATCAAAACGCACCTCAATAATATTTGGAAGTCTGTTCATTCTATAGAAAATGATATAGAGTATAGAATTTTGAAAAACTTTGTATTATTGAATATGAACTAAGTTGTATAAATAAAGCAAAGCTACCATGGATAAATTCTGAGACAGAGACTAATTCATCCAGCTCTGATTCAGAATCAACATCTGTTTTGTTAGATCTTGCAATTTTTCAGGTTTATCCAACCATTCTCCATGCTTAACATCACCTAAAACCTCATCTATATTATTTTTCGATTCTTCGTTCCGGATAAATTCTTTACATGCATCCATTACATTATGATTCTGTTCTAACTTATATTTCTGAAATGGTTCCTTAAAAATATCACAAACCGACCCCGGTATATTTGTAAAAGGTACCGATTTTATATCGAGAACGCCTGAACATATCGGATGATCGAAGCCAAGATCCTCCACATTTATTTCCTTAAGTTCCGTTTCTATTCTCTCCCACATGGTCTTCTCATAACTAGCGCTCTCGCTTATACACCGTCCAACATCACGATTCAAAGATCGTAAATTCGCATTTGCGTCTTCATGCCAGGCTTCGGTATCAATCACTAATGCTTTCATTTCTGAGAGTGAACATAGATCTTCGAATGCAGTTGCGACCTAGAATGTAGTAAAAT